AAAATTATTGAATTATTAAGTGGAAGAATCGTGAAAACTTCCATTTTCCAATATCTTTGGCCAATTATTGAAATTTACAATTTAAAATATCTGTGACAAAGAAATTTTCAAATTTTCCAATATTCGTTTTCTACAGAATTTTATTAAAAAAAAAAATTTAACAATTAAACGTAGAAAGTTTAGTCGATCAGTTAAAATTATTAGAAATTATTGAATTATTAAGTGGAAGAATCGTGAAAACTCCCATTTTCCAATATCTTTGGCCAATTATTGAAATTTACAATTTGGAGTATCTGTGACAAAAAAAAAAAAAAAATATAGAAAAAGAAATTTTAGAAAATTTTCCAATATCTACAGAATTTTATTAAAAAAAAGAAAAAAAAAACTTAACAATTAAACATAGAAAATCTCGATCAATCGAAATTATTGAATTATATATAGAAAAAGAAATTTTCAAATTTTCCAATATCCGTTTTCTACAGAATTTTATTAAAAAAAAGAAAAAAAAACTTAACAATTAAACATAGAAAGTTTAGTCGACTAATCAAAATTATTAAAAATTATTGAATTTCGAAATTCGAAAGATTTGAAATAATAAAAATTTCCATCGATCCATCGATCGATCGATGCTCCATAGAAATTGGTGTATAACGGTTCGTATCGTTCCTTTGCGAGGATGGATGATACGAGTGATGGAAAGTGTGCAAGAAGGAGAGAGATGCATTAGTCTCTCTGTAGTCAGACACGGTTTGCGCACAATGCGTCAACCTGCTGCCTGCTTTTTCAAGACATTATTCTCTTTATTCCGAAGAATTTTTTTTTTTTTTTTTTTTTAGAAGAAAATCGCGCGTGAAAATCTTGAGAAAAGAAATTCAAAAATTATATTCGAATTAATCTGAATTAAATATCATCGATAATTCGAGTTGAACTTGAAAGGATATTTTATTTATACGAGGAAATATAATTGCAGAGACGTTGATCATCACCCTATTTTAATAACAGAGATATATTTACACGCGGCTAACGTGAGAATATTCATCATGAATATTCATCGTAATCCAAGGAAATTTTCACTTCACGCGATGCGCAGGTAAATTTTGACAAAGGATCACGATACGAACGGTTCTCGAGTCGAGTGCTTTTTAATGGGCAAAAAAGCGAAAGCATTATTGTCGCTATCAATAGCCAGCAAAGTGTTGATTTGAAAAAAGTTTGAAAAGTTTCGAGCGAAAGGAAAAGTCGAATTAATCTAATTTTTTTTCTTTTCTCCCTTTCTTTGAAAAAGTATATTTCGTACAATCATCTTATCTTCTATAAAAATGAATAATAATTATATATATATTTTTTTTTTTATAATTGTATTCGTATCTACAAAATATACACTCGTGTATAACTATTTACTACTAATTTATATAACTATAATATTAAAAAATAGTAAAAACTATAATATTAGAAGGAATTATAATTTCTCGCTACTGGAAATGGTGTATAACTTGTTGAAAACTAGACTGTTTAATTTGTAATAATAAAGTGGTAATAAATAATCTAAAACGAGATTAATCACTTGACATTGCATAACAAATTATACTAGCGAAAAGTGCTGTGAGAAAAATTATATTATTTATATACAACAACTACTATATTGAACTATATACAATAATGCAATACGGTTATAAAAACGAAAAAAAAAAAAAATATTGGAAACGGTTTCGTCGATTCTTCGATCCATGTGTGTACATCTATTCGATATATATATATTTTTATATATTTTTTTTTAAGGCTTGAATTAATTCAATCGTGCGTAATAATAAGATAAGCGATCAATTATATTTCAAATTTGAATCAAATCGAATAAGCTTCATTCTATAATTGCTGCTACAAGTAATAATAAATAATCGAAAACGAAGAAGAAGAAGAAGAAGAAGAAGAAAAAAAAAAAGAAAAACATTCTTCTCGATATCAGAATACTTCGTTTCGTGATAAAAAGTGCTCCAAAGAAAGTCCAAAGTGCCTTGATCTTGGTGTGCCTTTTTCTCTCTTGTATTCGAAAAATGATGGTTCGATATGATCCAAGTTAACATGCATATGATGCGATCCAAAAAGAGAGAGATAATAAACAGATTCATTCAAACTTGATATAAAAAAAAAAAAAAAAGAAATATTA